TGCATTACGACTAATAAAACCAAAAAAAAATATTTTATTATATATTATTATTTTATTTTATTATATTTTATTACTGAAATTATTTGAAAATACCTACCCGAAATAATTATCTGACTAAGAGCTTGCGAGAAATATACGTCGAAATATAAAGAGATATTCGATATTCAAGTTTAACAAGATTAACAAGTTAGGTCTGAAATCCCCTACTGAAATAGTTTAGATTTGGATATTGGGCAATACTCGAAACATGTCTATGGTCAGCCAAAAATTCAATTAATTAAAATAATATAAAAAAATTTTTTGTTGTTGTAGTTCACTACTTTTCGAAAAACTTCTTTGTGAAATATTTAATTTTCTTTAAAATTTTATATAGATTTTTATAGACGAGTTTAATATTAGTATAGAAAAACACTAACAATGAAAACCGTTAAGAACTCAAATGATTAATTTTAATTTATACTTCACAATACGATTATCACATATCATATCATTATAGATATCATTATTGTAAGCATCTTAAATTTTATTCTGGCAGTACCTCTGCAATTTGTCAAATATTTTTTATTTCCAAAGCGGAAAAACCTTTACTTCAGTTGTTTCTAGTTCTTTAAACAATATGAATATTCCATATATAAATTTTCATACATCTGATGAAACGTACGTCCAAGTTGAAAAAACGCTACTCTGTCCTTCGCAGTCTATTAAACGTTGGTTGAGGGATACTTCGTTGATAAACCAGTTTGGAAATATATCAGTAGAGTTACCCACCATCGACTGTATTACTTTAGACATTATAATCACTTGGTTAAAAGCGCATCCTGCAAGAGTTAGTACTAATATTGGAAACTTTAGCGTAATTCAAATTTCCGCAAAAGATCGTAAAATCATAGGTTCAGATAATACACGCAAAAGAGATGTATTAAAAGCAGCATATGTCTTTGACATTAAGGAAGTCATGATGCAAACAGCCAAACTGTTGGCGGAAGATACACAGGCACAAATATCGTTTATTTTTACAGATTGTGGCATTCCTGCAGAAGAACAAGCTGTCCTATGCTGCGCTCTGGAGCGCAAAACCACTAGAAAAAAATGTTAATAAATTTAAGGTACAATATATTTAAACAACATATATCCCACTTCTATAACATTCTATCACATTTGTTATAGATTTCTGATGAGTTTAGCGAAGTTGGTGCCGATAACAGATTCTGATGAGATAAGAGAAGTAGTAAAGCATAAGAGAGATAGTAGATTACTATTTTGGGAAAGACTTCTTTTAGCTGATTATCGAAATTTATTGTAAATAATCTATAAATCTTTTATCACTTATCTATAAATCCTTATCAGTTTATCACTTAGGATCTTGCTATATAAATTTGAAAAGAAATGCATTTAAAGCCCCACTATTGATTACTATAAACCACTTCTTTGCGATGACTATAGTACAGAAAAAATTTCCTTTTCTAAATTATTAAATTTCATTAAGCTCAGATATTCATTTATAGTATTGATAAAACAATATTACGACATTTAAAATTAAGGTTCTATCTTATTTATTTATTTATTAAGCCTTGTTTGATGTCACATGATGCCAAGCTGCCTCTATACTGGACATAAGCTATCTACACATTGCCTCCATCTTTGCCTTCTTACTGCCACTTCTCTGAGCTCAACAATATTGATATATGATCTGTCAAGATGTGTGGATTGGCTATTAAGCCTTCCATAGGCATTCATCTTCTTCAACTGTCTTTTAGAATTATACGTGAGGGCTTGAAAACAAACTTAACTCGACGACTTTCGTAAGATGTGACCAATCCAGCCAAACTTTCTTTTGTGGATATTTATGTTGATGCGGTATGTCCCACAGTTGTTGGTTCGAAATTTGGTTTGGCCAAAAGATACGTAATATTTTCCGAAGCTACCGATTTGCAAACACTTACAAAAACTTTGTTATAGCAGTACGGATAAAACATATGCTTTCGTTAACCTGTAAAAGCTAAAACTCCATATTGTGTTCATATCTGTAAACGCGCCAATCGGTTCTATCTACTTTATTCAATTACCTTGTCGCAACCGAAGAATTAATCATGCGTTCATATGAACTGAAGAGTTAGATCTGCAATGTAAATATTGAACTTTGGCCGTATAAATTTTAATCCCACATTTGATTATTTAGAACTTCCAGAATTTACACTTCAATTACTAACTGATTAACTGTATGGAACATAGATGCCATGTTCCATTATCAGTTATATTTCATAGAATTGGTTATAATATGCCTTGACATCATATATAAAAATTATTGTAAAAAATCCGATAAGTAATCATTTACATGGCAATCATTTTATACATGACCCACAACTCCGATGGATTTGCAGGTCACTTCTTTGATTGCATTATGCTCTTTCATACTAAACATCTGGTGCGCTGTCTACAAAAGATTAAGTTATATATGAAATTTTATTAAAAATTAAAAAAATTACATTAAAAGAGGTTAGCTTAAATCCTTTCTAATTGTTTAAAAAATAATCCTTCAGGAGGGTAACGCTCTAAAAATTAACAACTATTTTATTAGGAACGTCATGCAAGTATTTCCACAGCTCTCCGCAATATCAAATTAATAATTTATTACAACTATATTGTTAATTTTATACAATAAAATATTTAGTAATTAATATAGCTTATTAATGTTATTAATTTTGTTATAAGGCTTTTAGGTATCATTTCAAACGTTTCAAGAAATTTTTTTCTTTATAAAACTGACGTTCGTCATATTTTTGCAATTTAAATTTTTAATAAATAATAATAAAAACTTTGATTAATAACTTTTATATTTTTATTTTGTAGCTCATAAATACATACATTATTATATATTTTTTCTCCATTGCCGCATTCACCCTTGCTGCTGACATAGCTACTACTTCTATAGCCACCTAGCGGAAAATATTGAAAACTTCAAATATACTAAACTAATGCAGCCAATGGTTTGTGTATATAATAACACAACAATAAATTACGACTACTAGTTAAAATTTTATACTACAGAGTAAATTTTTTTTTTTTGCAATAGGTGGGTAGCATCGAAAGCCACAGCGTGAAACTTGAACCCTCCAAAACCATATCTTAGAAATGAATGGAGAAGATTTCCACAGCAATGTGAAAACTTCATTCCAATAGACGGAGAAGAAAGAAGAGAGATAAGCTATAATACCTAGCAGGCTAGGTTCATCTAAGCCAAAAAAAACTACAGAGTACTAAATAAGATATATTAAATCCGTGACATGCTATGTTTAGTGGAGTTGAAAAATCTGATTAAAACCAAAAAATGATCGATTCAAAGTCTCTTAAATTTTACCATTAAACTACTTTAAGCATGCTAAAGTGGTAAAAACTGTACATTCAAGAATATTAAATCAATCCAGAAACTTCACCACACTTTAGCAAAAAATATTTTTTATTGTTTAAATTGTTAATATTGATCAATATAATTTTTGGCATCTCTCTTAAATTTTTATATAAAATGTGTCAATAAAATTGCTACAAAACAGCTGATTGCAAATAAAATTGGTACAAAACAGCTGATTGAAAATATTTCCTGAGTGAACAACAATTCGACATATGCTAATAAATGTATTCATAATTTTTACTAATTTAACGTTAAACAAATTCAAAAATTTAATTTATTAAATAGATTATATAAACTTATAAATGGAATATAACAAATAAAAGAGAATATGAAATAGATATTATATAAAAATTAAAATTGAATAAAATTGTATGGCATATATTATGCTTTTTTTAATTTGTTACTTATAATAGTTCTTTTTAAATTATATATATTATTAAGCCCCCAATTCTGTAAACTTGACAAATTTGTCAAGTATTGACAATTATTGAAGATTTTTATCACTTTAAGCTAAGGTACTTGTACCTAGTGCTTTTCACCACACTGTGGTTAAAAATGTTTTGTGTACAGAAATCAAAAGTAGTGTGTGGACTAGTTATTATAATCAGTTGTCACGTCTTCATCAGGAGAACTCCTAATATGAAAACAATTAAATATATTTTTAAAAACTATTTTTTTTAAAAATTGTGTATTCTTTAACATTGACTAATCAGCACGTTTAAAATTATATAAAAAAATTTTGTCATTAAAAGAATATAATAATAATATGATGTTTAAGATAAAATTATTTTATTTTAATTTATTATATATTTATTATATAGCATGTTATTCTGAGCTTCACATTTGGCAGGACTCGAGTACGAATCCTGGTATTTGCAGTCTCAAAAAATATTTATTACCGAATAATTAAATAAATACAGGCATTATTTCCAAGACCACTGAGGATGAGTATTTAGCAATACTCGAGACAGACTGTATGAGCAGCTAAAAATTCAATTAATTAAAATAATATAAAAAATAAAATTTTTGTTATTGTAGTTCACTACTCTTCAAAAAAAACCTCCTTATTTTAATTTATATTAATAAATTTATTTTATATTTGCCTCTTGAAACTGAAAAACTTAAAACTTTTTACACAAATTTTAATTTCTGCACATAATTTTTACAAAGAAGTACTTTAAAATTTTAACTGCAAATACAACACTGTGTCGCACCCAAGAAAAGCAACTGCAATGAAAAATGACAAACAAAAGGAACCGCAAAAGGCCGCTGGAGTTAGAAGTGGTAGCACGCGTTTATTGTGCTGCAGTTTTTATTATATGCAAACTATAAATTGTAGTTTAATTGTAATTGTAAAATAATTTATATTGAAAAGTTTTAAAACAAAAAAATATTTTTATATATAAAAAGGTGTAATAATCATACAAACATACATAATTGTATCAATGCGATGCAAATATTTCGTATAAATTTTATTAAAATCGCTGCGAATAATAATAAATTTATATTGTGAGAAAATTAATATGACTAAGTGACATTATTAATTAATAAAAGAAAAAATATATGAAATGTTAGAAAAACAGCTTTAAACATTAAATTTTATCAGTGGGAGGAATTAACACAACTTACATATTGTATATTGTTTTTGTTTTATTTATTTTTTATTTATGTTTTCTTGCTGAAAACGGAGTAGCAGCAAACAAAGGGAGAAGTGTAAAGAAAAATCAAAATCTTTTTGTGTTGTGAATAAATAAAACAACGATATTATTTGTGCGTTTGTGAATAAAATTTAATTTACTTAAATAATATTTGTGAATATTTGAAAAAAAAAATTAAATTTTAATAATTTTGTTGATTTTGTGTAGAATAAAATTTGATACACTTTTGCTTGCTATCAAGAATTTTGCGCACGGCAGCACTGATGTATGTCACTAACGGAGAATATGTAATATATACCCACACAGACGTACGCTACAGCTGGACATAAAAATAGGTGGTGCGGGTGAAATTTGTACAATTTAAAAAGTTTATATATTTTTCTATAATTTAAGTCTGCATATGAATAACATTTTCATAAACCACGGGCCGCGCAACCTCACATTAAAGGTAAACAATTTTTATATTTAATGTGTATTTGTTGCTTTCAGACATAAAATATTATACACTTGCGTTAAATTCTTAAATATTTAATAGCCGCCGCCGCTACTGTGCGGGCATTATATTATTCATCAACCCCAAGAAAAAGTGTATAATTGTCTAATAATTTCTTGGAAATCAAAAAAAAAATCTCTTAATTATGATCTTTGTGTGGTTGTGAATTGTGAATTGTTTTAACAAAATTTAAGATTAAGAAATTTATCTAATAATATTCAATTTCATAAAATATGTTATGTGTAAATTTTATCATTAATTAATTAAAATTGTCGTGATTGATGCTGGCTGTCTGTCTATCTGTCTGTCTGTCTTTATTATTCTGAACTGAGAAAACTAAACTGAACTGACTGAATAAATAATAATAAAGTGTTTAATTAGTGCTGTGCTCTATGCTTTCATTAAATAATATTAACTATTTTGATAAAGTCTTAATTTATTAATTCGATCAAACTTCAAAGAATAGAGAAAACATGCCAATTTTGCATAATCTGTCTGATGAGACTGAAGGAAACTAGTGTTATGCGGTTTCACGTTTTACGATAGTGGAGGGGGTTCTGTGCAGGTTCCATTCATAACTCAATGTAAAAATGTCGTTGATGTTTTCCGCATTATACGTACGCTAAGATTCTCTCCACTTAAATACACATTACGGGACAGTATTAATGAGTTTGGTCTTCTACATTCATAAAAACTATCCAAATTCGTTACTTAGTACGGTCAAAATGCCTCAAGGATCGAATAAACATTTACGTATATTTATTAATTTTTAGTTATCTTGGTGCTTAACACTTAATTATGCACTAAAAAAAGTCATGTTAGTATTAGAAATATCAGCAACTGCTTTTGTGATACGAAGTAGGTTAGATTACTACAACCCGCCTATGTGACATTTATTTTAGAATGAAAAGATAAGTACGGGTATGAATAATTTCATACATAGTCATCATCTGTGACTATACAGTCCATATAGGACCTAGGCCTGTCTTCCATTCTTCTCTGTTTTTTGCTTTTATTATTCAATTTCTTATGTTAATTTCTTCTAAGTGCTGCTGCACACTGTCTTTTCGTCGTTTTCTAGGTCGCCCACTGGTAGGTCTTTCTTCTACTGGTAGGTCCTACCTTGTTCTCATAAATCTTAAGCGGTACTCTCATATTCGGCATTCTTATCACATATCCAAGCCATCTTTATAGCAGCCTTTTCATACATTTTTTGTTTGTATCACCTACAGCTAGCCGTTCTAGCTCATGGTTGTATCTTATGCGATACAATCCATTTTCTTTCACGGGGTTTTACAATTTTTCTGAGTATATTCCTTTCAAACACTGCTGAATAATTTAAATAAATTAGCATATTATAATTTCTGCTTATGAAATGCTATAAAAGTTGAGCTTATCAATTCCGATACAGTAGAACCTCACAAATTAGTAGTTCAAATTTGCGAAAAATTCTAATTTCTGAATGATCAATAAATTAAAACTCTGCATTTTAACTATTCACTGTAGATTGAATAATCACGTAACGAAATTAGGAATTCAATCCAACTCAGACCGCAGATACTGTAAAAACAAGAGAGAAACTGCATACTATGTGCTTGGGAAGTGCCCGGCACTAATGCATAACCGGAAGAAACACCTAGGAGAATATTGCATGGATCATAAAAATTCAAAACTACGAAAGGTAGATTCTATACTGTCTTTCATTAAAGAAATCGGACTTGGAGAAACACTCCAATCCGACTAAAGGGCTCAATAGGACTTTTAGGTCGCAGTGCATTACCCATTTTCAAATAATAATAACTATTTTATTTTATTTTACTTTATTTTACAATTGAAATCAATTCTTATTAAGCATTATTGTATAAAATATTGAGTAATGTTTGCCTTTTTTTTAGGTTTAGTCAAATTTTTTTGTCAAATAATGTTATCGTTACAGAGAGTTAAAAAGATTGGTCATGTTATCAGTAGAAAACGAGTCATACTTTTTGCATAAATTTATTAAGATGTTGACGCATTCAATCGTTTCAGAATAAGACATATTAAATGTGGGATTGGGAACGTCATCTTCAATGTTATTTGAAGTATCATTATCGGTATTAAACACATATTCAGAATCTGAATTTCAGATCCGTCTTGAACTTGCATTTTTGAATGCGTTTCATTTAAGTGCGTATTTTGGGAATTCCCCCCTTGATTTTTTTTTTTGAAACAAAATACGAACAATAACTCAGTTATTTATAAAAAATCAAAAAAAAAAAAAACAAATAAGAGAATTCGCTTAAAAACTAGAACCAAAAGTTCTAACTTTAGAGGTTTTAGTACATACAATGTATTGAAGTATTTTGGTTCTAATTTCTAGACAATTCGAATTTGTAAGAGTTTTAATTTGTGAGACTCTACTGTAATACAAAATATTTTTTTCCACAACAAATTAAGGAACCTTGAATTGAGATACTATAAAACTTCTCGAATGGCATAAGGTCCATTGTAATTTTACAGATTTTTGCCTTAAACAAAGTAACGGTGGTGGTAGAAACCGGTGAACTATGTCAAAAGTCTCAATTGATTCTTAAATAGTTCACAATAGGTTATAAAATAAAAATGAAGTGTTATTAATTAACAATTAACAGGGGTTATTGAAAACCTTTGTTATTAGACCCACTTTAGTGTCATCTGTGATTTTTTGTTTAAAATTATTATTCTCTTATGGTAGAATTGCTGACTTAAAGAGATCCTTTACATACTTAATCTATTCACTTTGCAATATCACAACCTTATGGCTTTTATATTAAAACTTCTCAATCATTCTCCCAAAATATTTACCAAATCACTGAGATGTCTGTGAGATATCATTGTCAAGATATATAACACGTTTAATTTACATCAATTCTGGCACTTTTTTAAATTCTAGCTAGCTTCAAAAGCATTTATTAATAACAATGGACAAGGTGGTAGTAGCTTATAATAACTTTTCCCTTTTTTAGCGCCATAATCCCACCTTTGCTTCCATTTATGAACTTCATGTTTTTAACCAAGACGATTCGCATCGAATACTATAAGATATGAGAAGAGAGAGAAGGAGAGGGTTTGCGTCTGATGGGAGACAAATAAGAGTGTTGGTGCTTGTTAATTGAAACTAATTGTTGGTGTAGCCAGCAATGTTCTATTAAGCAGATGACATGAAAGAAATTACGAAGACGTGTACATAGGTTAGGAATGCTGGCTAGATAATGGTAGTGCAACAAAGGAAACGATTATTTAGGAACAAGATGTGTTGGGTTAGGTTGGAAATTGAAACGAGTCTAGTGTTCCAAGTGATTCATAATAAGGTCAATAATATCAATAAGGCCTAAAAAAGTTTGCATATTTAAAAAGAAAAACATTTAGCTGTTGTCATAAGGAGTAAAGCTGCGTTTGAATCAAACTATTTAAATATGAACAGCATCTCTTTAGCACTTGGTTAAAAGTTAACTGAAACTAGCTTATAGTAGAGGTGACTGGCCATTTTAATAGAACTGAGTCAATCAATTGGGCACATATGAATATGTGCTTCAAGAAAATGAAAAACAGATAGCCGGTATTATGAGATATAGCACTGCGGTTGGAGCACACATTCTGAACTTACGTGACAAGAAACTGTTTAGTAGAGGACTTCATTTTGATCCCAATTGGATTTATGGAACGTTTTGCTGTTTAACGAACGTTTCTTTATTCCCTAAAGGTTTCAGACGATATTTATTGAAAAGTCTGTTAAAATACAAATGCGGTCCACAAGAAGACATTGTTTCGACGATCTCATATATGTTGTCTTCCGACTTTTGTCATTAGCATTCGCTGTGATTATTTTTAGTGAGCTTTTTCGGAATAACTTGATTGCTAGTGTTGACTTATGTTAAGGAATATATGAGGATAAAATAATCCTTATTTTTATATTATAAAATATATAATGACTCTCTATTTTAATCGACTATTTGCAGTTTGTGGGTTTTTGAATAATTTTATATAAGCAAAAGTTAAATAATTCTGCTCAATGAACTTAACATATTTTTATATCTAAATCATATTTGGTATGATAATAAATTATACTAAAAATAACTGATTAAAATTTATTTCAAATATTAATTAATTTAATTATTACAGTGAAAGTAAAGTCAATTTGTCATATTTTTAATTAAGTGCCTGATGATAGACCCATTATTTTTGATATTAAAATAGCAATGAACGTTTCTTTGAAGTATTCTACGCATATGACCTCGTTTCAATTTTTACTCCTGTGGTTATCCAATATTTAACTGATTTTTATCTTAGGATTACTTTTACCTAAATGTGACGGAAATAGGGATAATGTCGTAATTTGATATAATTCGTAGCTGTTATAAAGTGCCTTAAATATTATTAAAACACTATATTTTATTTATATTTAGAATATAAAAATTCAACTCCAACATTTGAGTATAATTTGTAAAGTCTGTTATTTAAATCAATGTTTCTCAATCTTATTTGTACCATATCTCACCTAAGAGCTTTTCAGTTCCCCAAGGTTCGGGATAACTAATTATAATATTTTTTTAATTTTATATTTTTTTTTTTTTGATTTTATAAATTAACTATCTCCAAATTACCGAATTTTCGATCTCATCACATAAAATTAAAATAAATATTTTTTTTTAAATTAATATATGTCGACACGCTCATCTCAATAATTATTGAAACTCTACCTATATGATTCCTTTTAAGAATAGGTTGATCATATTATATATACTCTTGATTCAAAAGTTTGAGATATTATTTTGAATAGTTAGACAGCAAAACCTTTCCCAAAACCTTGAAACTATATATTACAATTGCTTTAAAATCTCGGTCCTATTAGATATCCTTCAGTTTCCAGTTTCCGTTGACGATATAGCACCTTCATTCTTTGGTTCAATCGAACTTACAGTTACTTTATGACAGTT